CCGTCCTGGCGCTCGGGGGGCTCCGCGGGCTGCTCGGGGGGCTGCGGCTGTACTGGTTGTTGTTGAGCTCGGGGTAGTTTCTGGACGACGCCTGGGAGCTGCCGTTGAGGAGGTTGGCGAAGGGGCTGGCGGCAAAGCCCACCTTGCAGGGCGAGGTCTTCCTGCTGTCCGGGTCCTCCGTGGCCGCACTCAGGTTCCCCAGAGAGCTGGCCAGCCGGGAGTTTACGGAGAAGCTGGAGGGACACAGGAACACGACAGCCATGCTACCGCGGCTCGAGTCCAGACACACAGCACAGCACTGGGGGGTGCCCGGCACAAGGACAGTGCGGGGGACAGAGGGCGCAGATCGTGGTGCTATTGGACCAGAAATCAGGGTGCTGTTGGTCCTGCGATCGGAATGCTGTTGGTCCTAAGATCGGGGTGCTATTGGATCTGCGATCAGGGTGCTATTGGACCTGCAATCGGGGTGCTGTAGGATGCGAGATTGGGGTGCTGTTGGACCTGAGATCAGGGTGCTACAGGACGCGAGATCAGGGTGCTATTGGACGTGAGATCAGGATGCTATTGGACGCGAGATCGGGGTGCTGTTGGACTTGCAATCGGGGTGCTGTTGGTCCTGAGGCAGGAAGTAAGTGAACTCTAAGCAAAGAGTGAGAAGCGCAGGCTTTAACTCATAGGTATTTGATCACACGGCTCCATGAACCGTCCCGGCCGCCTCGGGAGGAGTGACCATCGGCTGTACCTTAGCGCATACAACTCAGCTCCGTTTTCAAATCAGGCGACTACAGCAAGGGTGCCGCCCGCCATCCCTCCGCAGCCTCGTCCCCACAACGCAGGAGGGGACAGGGCCCGGAGGGCACAGAGCCTTTGTGGTTGCTCTCCCCTCCCCCCAAGGGCAGCCGAACTCCCTGCTGCTGACCTGGACCCCAGCCCTCGGAGGGGAGAGTTACCTTCTCCCACTGGCGCCCGAGGCCAAGGTGCCCCTGGAGATCCGCTTGGCCGTGGCGGACGGGGACGAAGCCACTTTGCAGATCTTCAGAGCAGACGCAGATCCTTGTGAGGAAGAAGCCAGTCTGTGGGGAGAAAACAGAGCCAGGTGTCACGGGAAAGCTGTGCCACGTGGACACTCAGCCATCGGCGAGGGCGAGGCAAACGTCCGGGGCAGCCGCCGCCCAGACAGTGGGTCTGCCGGGCGCTCTCCGGTAGCCTCGGCGCCCAGCCCCCTTGGCAAGTGGCCGTGCCGGGGTCCAACCCGGGACCCCACGCCCTGCTCTTCACCTCCCGCCGTCCTGGGCCCCCTCCCTCCTCACTGCTGCCAATGTGTGCCTCACGGGTCCTCTCCTCCCACCAGCCAGGCCGGGGCGAGGCCACGGCTGTGCCTTATCCCAACTGCCAGTCGCATCTTTGCCTCCGACCCCCTGAGAGTCCACGGCTGCACAGCCTCCGGCGGCACCTGCACCCTCTCATCCTGTGGCTTTGCGGTGGAACCGCCTCCTCTTTCCTCAGGGCCCAGCGCTCCCCAGGGCTTCCCGGTTCGGGTCAAACCTCTCTCCTGCCCCCGCCAAGCCCTGCACTGGGTCCTGGTACCCCCATGGCCTGACACGACCAGAAAGCACTCAGGGGACTTTTCCCCGAGAAAAACACTAACGTGTCCTCTGTGCGTGGAGGGTAGAAGAGGGAAACAACGAGAAAACAGAGGAGGGCAACAAACGTGCAAAACGAGGAAGGAGGAATAGCAGGAACGTGTCCATTCACCGAAAAACCGAGCACCAGCTCCAAAGGGCTGCGGCAGCCAATGGCCTTTATCAGAGACCCCCCCGCCCCGGGGCAGTAAGCACCGGTCACTGCCACAGCCACCAGCCCTGGGGCCGCTCAGGAACGGAACCGCTTCTCCTGGGGAGCGTGGAACACAACCCATCGTCACAGAGAGGAAGGGGCCGAAGCAGTGAAACGCGGGGCGCAGCTCCTTTTCACCAGTTTGCAGGGGTGGGGAACGTCTGGCCCGCGGGCCGTAAAAGGCCGAGAAATCATTTGGTCTGGCCCTGCCCAGGCATTGGGGTGAGTGAATTAAATGTTGGGCCAACCATGGCAGGCTGGTTTTTAAGCTGATGCTTTTGTGTGGCCCTCGAGTGATGTTATAAATGTCCAATGGCCCTGACAGGGCAAAGGC